GCTCATCTGTTCAGTTCATAATGAATTCGATCCTTAATGTGTGGCCCATATTTTCGGCCTTGTGCCAAGTACACTTAGAAAAAACATTTTTGGGTACTTTGAGTTGGTGTAATGGTAATCAAGCTGACATCATTCTGTAGAACCACATTTGTCGTTTCTTCTCCCTCAGCGATGAGAGTGTCCAGTATATCACTTGCCTTATAGGAGGACCGATTTATTAAATATTGACTTTCTGTGGTTTTTAGAGTGGTTTCACAGTCGGTCCTAAAATAGGTTCGATGTACAAAACGTTAGGAACTTGATATAATAGGTAATGACGCAGAGAAATCTAGTTGTGGTGGCTGATACTTTTAGTATCCGACTAACGGTCGTCCGACATCAACTGACTGACCAACTCGATATTTAGTCACCCCCCACCACGAAGTCATCATGTGGCACAAGGCCGGTTTAACGTGGGATCTCCGAGCCCGTGGGCTCGGCCAAAAATATGCCCATTGAACCCGTATAAACGGGTCCAGGGTCGGTTTACCTCCCCGAAAGAGAATCCGCCCTTCGGCGTAGCCTCATTCGGGTTCCTCTTCGCTCGAAGGCAGAGAGTTCAACCGATCAGCCAGACTGACTGACCAACTCTCTGAGCGACTGACTCGTTACTCTTACTTATTATAGGTGGAGGAGTATTAACTATAGAATAGGTGTGTTCCACTATAAGACTTTCAGAATTCTCAAAGAAATCTTAAATAATTTTCCCACAAAATAGATTAATATGATTATCTCCATCAAGGGCACCTGTCATATTTAACAAGATTAGAGTAGATTACCCTAAGGCTTTAAGGCCGTAGGAGCTGGATGTCCATTTGTTAGTAAAGGATCTGATTGGCATATACTCTTGGCGTCACTGATACTTTCTTTTTCTATATATTGAGACGACTTAAAATAAGTTCTTATTTGATTGATTTCAGATTAAACTTGGAAATTTATTCAACATATTTAATGTTTTCGCTTTCCGAAATAATAGTTTAACTATAGGTATAGGTGAGGAATAAAGAGATCGAGTCAGTTTGAAAATGCCGCTAGATGGATATTCGTTAGAATCGGCTCTGAAGTTATATGGCACAGATGATATGTGGCATATTGTCCAAAGTAAGGATCACCAAGTAACGATTGAATCAGTCGTAATTGATCTAATGAAGTTAGCTTGCAAAACATTAGACCACATCGAAGTGACCATAAACGTTTTTTCTAAGCGTAGCTTAGATGTGCCACAAGGCAGAAAATATGCTTTACTCAGTGAGGATCGAACTTACTATTCAGTCGTAATTGATCTAGCGAGGCAAGTTGCTTACCAATACAGCTCCTCAAAGTGCACAAAAATGATTTTCTAAGCGTAACTTAGATGTGGCATAAACCCAAAAACATGGTCCACCCAGTGAGGACCGATCTCATTATTCAGACGAAACTGATTTAGTCAGGCTAGCTTGCTTATCAATGCATTACGTCGAAGTTCCAGACTATGAATTTGCAAGCGTAGTTTAGATGTTTCGAGACTAATATTATGGGTCATCCAGTGTGGATCAAACTCACTAATCGGTCATAATTGATTAAGCGAGATTAGCTTGATTACCATTACACCACCTCAAAGTGTCCAAAAATGTTTTTCTAAGCGTACTTTAGATGTGGCACAAGGCCGAAAATATGGGCAACACATTAAGGATCGAACTCATTATTTAGTCGTAATTTAGCGAGATAAGAAAAAGTTTTTCTTAGCATAGCTCAGATGTGGTATAAAGCCGAAACTAGGAGGCCCTCAGATCGAACTCGCTATTCAGTCGTCATTGATCTGGCGAAGATTAGCTTGCTAACGGTTACACTACGTCGAAGTGCTTAGGCTTAGGTGTGCATAAAGTCGGGAGTAAGTAACACCTAGTGAGATTCGAACTCACTGTTTAGTCGTAATTAATCTAGAAAGACGAGATTGCTAACCATTACACAACGTCGAAGTGACGCTGCTATTCTGCATATTTGGAATGATTCTAAATTGTTCAATGATTCTACTGTTTGCTTACAAGTATTGAAAGGGTTTCATTTGTAAAATATGGCTACAATTTCATGGGTTTATTCGTAGGAAAATATGCGAAAAGAAAAAAACAAAACTCAATAACAAATAAACAAAGGAGTAAGACAAATACAGAATCTGTTTTCTTCCGAAAATATATGGAGGTTGTGCTGTGGAAAATAATTTAGCAAATTTTCTTCAACAAAGAATAACAAAAGAAATATCGTTTCTTCAGTAACAGTCAATGGTGCGTTTGACGTTTATTTTGCTTTGTTTTTTGTTTAGATACAAACATTATACTGGGGGAAATTTTTTTTTTTTTCTATTGGTATTTACGTTTATTCAATGCTCTTCACACGCATGCACACACCTAAATTGTGTATATATACATATATACATATATATATATATATATATATATATATATATATATATATATATATATTAAATCATCATTCCATCATTCACTGTCCCAGTATTAAAAAGTACAGAAATCAATGCCATATATATATATATATATATATATATATATATATATATATATTTATATATTTTAAAGATATACGTCATTGATTTCTGTACTTTCACATACACACACACACATATATATATATATATATATATATATATATATATATATTATGAAATGGACAAAGTCCGGCAATCATTTTAAGACATTTTTATGTTCATACGTTCTTTTTATAGATACAAATATTTAAGTAAATACTCTCTTTATAATAAACAGTATTAAACAACATTTACCGACATGAATGTCCGAGAAATTTTCACGGAGGACGAATATTTTCTGTGAAAATTCCTCGGACATTCATGTCGGTAAATGTTGTTTAATACTATTTATTATAAAACAGAGCATTTACTTAAATATTTGTATCCATAAAAAAGAATGTATAAACATAAATGTCTTATATATATATATATATATATATATATATATATATATATATATATATATATATATATAGCGTTGACATATAGCTGGGACAGGGAATGATGGGAATGATGGGATGATGATGACGTAATTACAGAAATTATATATATATATATATATATATATATATGAATTGTGTGTATTTAGGCAGCATAAGCCATTATCAAAGATGACAATTACAGTACAATATATTAAGCAATACACGGACAAGATTGTGATGATAATCTGTTTCTGTTTACATGGATGATTTCCAAGCAACGATGAACACGTGCATATAAGACGCTGGAAGCGAAAATCGCACCGCAGCTCATGACGTCACACAGGATCATGCGAGAGTGAATTGGAGAAGTATTAAGTATGGGAAGCCGTTGGTATAAACCAATGGCTTCTGTTACCAATTATAGACATTTAAGAATATTTGTGGAGATTTCATAGTTTATGTTGTTCAGGTTAGGTTTCAACTGTTTTATGCATATAGCTTCAAGAATTTTTAGTTTTTGTTTATTGTTTTCATGTTTAAGTATAGTTGTGTTTTCAACAAGGATTTTACGGAATTGTGTATGCGGCCAGACATGTTGTTTTAAATGCCTAAAAATGTTTCATTCAAATGTAGTGTCTTGTCCGTGTATTGCATAATATATTGTACAGTAATTGTCATCTTTGATAATGGCTTATGTAAGCCGAAAGCTTAGATTGGATTAAAAAATATGTATTAATACTGTGATTTTCTTTCTTCGTTTAATGATAATGTTATTAAGCTTACCAGACGTCATGAAAAGAATTTACATAAAATAAACAGACAACACTTGTCTATATTATTTAATGAAACATCTATGAATATATATATATATATATATATATATATATATATATATATATATATATATATATATATATATATATATTACGATAAACGTGCAATCAATTTACAAATTCATGAATTATTCACACAAAAACAAATGCAAAGGTTAATGATTTAATTGGCGAGAAATCCATCGTCGCAAATAATTCAAATAATATACAAAAACCTCCGAATCCGTTATGAATGAAATGATCCTTGTTTCTATAAATAAAGGTTTTTGTATATTTGTACATGAACGCACAATTTAAAAAAAATTAAAATCAAACTCAGCGTTGCTACTGCGCGCTCCAAAAACAATAACTCATTTCCAATAGCATTTTCGGATACAACAATACATATATTTTCGTTGTCCTCTTATTACTAAGAGAAAAAACAAGAACAACATCTATTCTATACCTGAAGATGTCTGTAGGAACAGACGAAAGCTTGTAGTAAAATAAGAACTAATACGGCAGAAATTTATAGAAACAAGGATCATTTCATTCATAACGGATTCGGAGGTTTTTGTATATTATTTGAATTGTTTGCGACGATGGATTTCTCGCCAATTAAATCATTAACCTTTGCATTTGTTTTTGTGTGAATAATTCATGAATATATATATATATATATATATATATATATATATATATATATATATATATATATATATATGCTAAAAGGAAGAATTAATATGAGAAAGGAACCAAAAGAAAAAAGAAGACGAAAAAATTGTGGAGTATAAAGGAATAGAGGAAGATGAAGAAGAATAAGGAAAAAATAAGAGGGGACAGGGTGGCGTGGAAAAGATTAGTAAAGAGAAGTAAGAAGATGAGAGAGAGAGAGAGAGAGAGAGAGAGAGAGCGAAAGGAATGTGAGAATAAAAAAGAGGGAATATCGAAAAAGAACGGAAAGATGGAAGGTAAGAAAAAAAAGAGAAAAGAAAGAAAGAAGAAAGGCAAAGAGGATGTAGATAAAAAAAAAAGACTGAGTAAAAAGATAAACGAAAGTGGAATAAGAGGAGGGGAAACATGTCGAAGGAGGAGTGAATTAAGTGAGATAAATGTTAACCTCCCCACCTCCAGCTGCGAAATATCAACGATTGTGGCGTGTAGAATCTTCACAAGGTCACTACGCAGCTGGCACCAATATAACAGATGAGGAGACAATCCACCGGAGATGTAAGCAAATACAATAGCAGTTATCCGATGATTGATTCAAACTGTTGTATTTTTTTTATCATTGTGATATGTACTATTAAGTCGTAACGAAAAAGATCTATCGCAATTTTTGACATGATCCCCTTTTTAATACTAACGAACAGGAGAGTAATAAATCTATAAAAGCAGAACGAAAACAATCTGCCTCGTTGATTGAATAAAGTGTTGCATTCAAAATACGGAGAAAATGACCGAGTACGAGAAATAACTGAAGAAGGCGGTGAGGAAGACGACAGAAACCATGTGAATTTAACCAATATGAATTTCCTTGCAGAAATGTAAAGATATAGATTAGGTTGGAAAGAAAGACCTGTCATAATTTTTATATACCGTATATACTCGCGTATTATACGACTTTTGAAGACCTAATTTTGAAGCTAATTTTAGGAGGGTAGCATCATACATGATATATAAAAATAGAGTATTTACTGCTGACTCTATTTCTCTAATAGAAAATTTGACAACAATCCCAGGTCTCTTTACACTGCTTTTTATTTTGTTTTCTTTTTTCTCTTTTCTGTTTTTTTTTTCATTTTGCTGTTTTTTCTTCTTCTTTCTCTGATTTTTCTTTTTGTTTTTCTAATTCTTTTTCTTTTCTTCTTTTTTATATGAATTTCTGTATTGTTTTTCATTGTTTTTCTATCTTTTCCTTATTTTTTTTTTGTCTGATTCTTTTTCTTTGTTTCCTTTTTGTTTAATTTTTTTCTTCATTTTCTAATTTTTTTCTTCCTTTTGCTGATTTAGGCCATTTTCTTTTCTTTTGCAGTTGAGTTTTTTCTCTTTTTCTTCCTTTTTCTGATTATTTGTTTTCTTTTGGCTAAGTTGCTTTTTTGTTCTTTTTCTGTGCTTTCTTTTCTCTTTCATTTCTCATTCTTAATTGCTTCTATCTTCCCTTTCAAACTTTCCTTCATTTCTTTCTCTTTTATTCTTGCTTCTTATTTTCCTCTATTTTCTTTTCTATTTTATCCATCATTCTTAATTGCTTCTGCTTTCTTTCACAATTTCGTTCATTCATTCCTTCATTTTGATTCTTTTTTGCTTTATGTTTCTTCTCTCTTGTTACCTCCATTTTTTCTTTGCTTCCATTTTTTTCCTTTCTTCCTTTTCTGTCATTCTCTTTTCTCTCCATTATGTTCTTCACCAATTTTCAAAGTAAAAGAAAATAAAGAAACACAAATCCAACAGTTTTGTTAAGTGTATCAACCTCAGTCATCACCTCTAGCAAATCTCTACCAAATGTTTGCAGAGTAGAACATTTTATTTTCAACTTTCTGTACCCACCCTCCACTTAGAATTATATAGAATTACCTGGATGTTACAGGAAACAATTACGCACTGTTATATGCAAACAGTTGAAATATTTCTCATAGGCACACAAAATTAACACTCATAAACAAATACATTCTAAAAAGACATGACAGATTGTAATGTCATTTCTTTTGGCATCAATTAATTTTTTTATGGTCAATTCACTTCAAGCATGGTGATAATGCCACTTAGATTTTATAAGTACCATATACACTCGACATTTGAAGACCTAGTTTAGAAGGGGGTTGCATCATACATCTTACTTATTATAAAACGCAGATTGTGTGTGTCTGTACGTTTATATATTGGATCGGATTTCCTACATTTTTCAACCGATTTCAACAAAACTTCACAGGATTACGTAAAATTCCCTTGCGGTGGTTCTGACGGCGCCAAAAATTGGAAAAACACAATGAAAAACTGAATGTATCCGTTCTATACGGCCCCTACCAGGGCCGTATAGAACGGATACATTCAGACTCAGTTGAAACAGGACGAACAAAAACAGAACAATTAAAACGAGAGATACATAAATATGTGGAGATGAATAATAACAAATTATCCCAGTATATTTAATAAAGGTTTAAGATCGAAAATTCCCTGAAAGATACTCGGATAGACAGACTCTTGAAAAAAAGGCCGTCGGACAATGCAGCCGAACCATTGTGATCATAAAATTGACTCTGATAGAGTTCAGTGAAAAGTGGGATAAGTTGTGCTTCTAGTTCTCAGAATGGTGTTTCCGATGTCATATTGTACTGGAGGAAACGAATAATGAATTGTCTATGTTTGTTTTTTAAGTCTCTGTTTTTTTTTTTTTCTGATCTTACTGTCTTCGTTATCACAGAAAAGAAAAGAAAATTCGTCGGTGATAGGCTGAGTTGATTTATGATTCATTAAACGAATGGGTAAAAATAGTAAAAAAATAAAAAACAAATAAACATAAAAACGCTAAAGCATTAAATTCTTTTTTGTTTTTGTTTTGTTTTTTGTCTCCAAAACATCATCTGTATTGCCTTTGACCGATTAACTTGCCATTCTCCCGAAATTGTTTTCTCTACATAAATAATTTTTACTTTCAATTCCTTTGCGATGAAGTAATTTTTTTTTGTTGAGATTTTCTTCTATAAAACTATCTTCTTATCTTGACCATCACAAATTATTTTCCTGTCGTTCGTAGGCTGATAATATACCCCAGTTTGAGTGATAAAACCTATTTCAATTAAGTATTTTTTTTTTCTTTTTGTGATTCAGTTATGAGGCTTAAGGAGTGTTAGGCTATAAAGCAGGTTATTAAATAAAACTATGATAAAAATTGAAAAAACTCTCCCAGTTTGAATCTTGCAGATAAAGAGTCAGTCAGTCAGTTATTTGTCATGCGTGATACACGCTGACGAGGCAGGTTTTTCGCGCAGTAGATTGCCATTTCCTTCTGCGGTAGACCAGTTGCTATCGTTGGCAATAGAATCCTGTCTGTCCTTCTATGGATAAATAGCAGGACAGACCGGGGAGAATTCATACCTTTTCCCAATGGAAACGTAAGTGAATGTAATGGATTCGACTGGAATTCGAACTCGGCTCTCCGATTCTGATTCCTCAATCCAAGCTGATATCAATTATTCCACCGTAATGATAGTAAGCCGGGGAAATATTTATCAAATATTTTTGAAAATCATTGCGTCATTGGGGTAGATTTGTTTACTCTATTATTCACTGAATACGAGGCACAAGAGACATTCAAGGTAGAGGGATACTAAATTGGGGTTATTTTATGTGCGTGAATTCATTCGTGGATCAATTATTGCTGCCAATTCTAGAATTGAGCTTTTGCTACATATCCAGAGATTCTTGACAAAAACCAGAGAAAACTCTGCAACCTCTGATATGGCATCTGGGTCCCAGTTACTTTCATACCGCCATGACATAGCTTCACTGTGCATTTTTTATAAATATTTTCACGATAATTGTTCTGTTCAGCTTTTCTCTTTGGTAGCTCGACATCAAGAATTTAAGTGCAGTAATAGCGTGGCAGCTAGGTTACATAATCTTAACTGTTGAAATTGCTACTTATAACCGTAAGTTCTATACTAATGGTTTCTTCACTGGCACTTTTCACTTCCGGAAATCTCTTCCGGCTTCATGCTTTCTGGTCGATTACGAACTTCAAAAAAATTGAATGCAATGTCAATCGTCATCTGTCTTTTTAAGTCCTATCCTTTTATTGATCTCTCTGTTTGTTTCATTCTTATTTAGTCTTTCCGTCTTAGTGGATTTATTGCCTTTCTTGGGGTGAAATAATTAAAATAAATAGCTTAAAAATATTGAGAAACTGTGATAGTTTTTTTACGCTATTGTTCAACCAATACAAGACATAAGAGCCTTTTGTAATGTTGTCTGTTTGGTTATTGAAATAATACCACATATAAGGGTTTATTTTAAATAAGAACAATACAAGTAAAAGCTTGGAAGCGACCCCTACGCCTGTGACCAACACCATAGATGCTTATATTCCTAATGGAACAGTCCATTTAATAGAGATGCATCAGTTCTTTGTATACCGAGGATTATCAGTTCGTTTGCTACAAAAGAGCCACTTAAAGTATAGGTTGTTGAATGGGTTTTTTTTATGGATTAAGAATTGTAGATTATGCCGTTATGTAGGATAGATAAAGGTTGACTTGAAGCTGTTATGATAATAGTGGCCGGAGAAGGTGCGCTCTAGATGTGGTCTTTGGGATAAATTTAGGATTTCTTTATTAATTGTATCACTTAGCTTATAAAATATGAGTCGCTAATAATAACCATTTTTTTCTATTTATAATGAGGGACCAAGCTATTCATTATTTTAAAACAATGACATTGATCTTAAATGTAGCATGAAGTTACTCGACGTTGTGAACAGGGTCACTGTGTAGGTGAGCACCTGACCAGCTCCTTCCATATTTCTCAGTTGCATGCCAATTTTCTGAATCTGTGAATGCTCTTCCAATCTACTCCATGACGTTATCAGACCATTTCTGTAAACTGTCTGACTCTACTTCTTTTGATTAAGTTGGTACCTTTTAGAATGGCATTGGAAAGGTGGCTGACTGGCCAACAAACTGGAGTATTCCGTGTAACAAATACAAGTGACGATTAGGTTGTTTCCTTCTATTAATTCGGCACGGTATATGGTTCTACAGAATGATGCTGAGGATATCGTGGGCCGGACATGTGAGCAACGACGAAGTTTTGGAGAAGATGGAAGCAAAAATGAAACTTATACTTAACATCAGGTAAAGGTAGTTGAAATTTCTGAGGCATTTAATGAGGAAAGAGGGCTTGGAGAATCTGATACTCACCGGATAGACTGAGGGAAAGAGGGATAGAGGAAAGCAGCGCGTAACATACTTGAGGAACTTGAGTAAAATGGAAGCTACAATTGCCAGGAAGATGTGTGAGAGGATAAAGAACAAATAGGAAAGGTTTATAAAAGTGACATGTTTCGCTTTTAGTAAAGGTTCATAAAAGAATAAGACATACAGAAAAAAAAGTTCTGGTAATTTAATTTTGGCGTTGTTTGATTTTCGTTTGTTAAGAGACATCATGTGTGTTTGACCAATCATCTAGAGTCCGTATGTATAATTTATGTATATAAATGATAAATAATTGTAGTTTGTCTATAAGAGATTCTGATGATAATATATATATATATATATATATATATATATATATATATATATATATATATATATATATGTATAAATAAATAAAATGTATATATTTTTCTCCATATCTCATTCTCCGATGAAGCTTTAATAAAAGCGAAATATATTAGATTTATGAACGTTTTCTATTTGCTCTTTATCCTATCTTTCTGTCGGATATCGATCCATTTTTTATATGTATTTGATCCAAATTCATATATATATATATCTTATGGGACCTTACCCATAATAACATAATGGACTATTCCATACGTAATAAATACTGCGCCTCAAGAGGAAGCGGCAGTTCAGTCTGAAGTCAGACGACCGGCTGAACGGTTGAACTCTCTGCCTCCGGGCGGGGAGGAACTCGAAAGGGGCTACGCCGAAAGCCGGAGTCTCTTTCGGGGAGGTAAACCGGACCCTGAACCCGTGTATACGGGTTCAAAGGGCATATTTTTGGCCGAGCCCACGGGCTCGGAGATTCCACGGGCTCGGAGATCCCACGTTAAACCGGCCTTGTGCCATATGATTCCCTCGTGGTGGTGGTGGGTGACTAAATACCGATCCGTCTGCAGTCTGAGAGTTCCGTCTGAAGTCTTGTCCGTCAGGAGTCTGTCAGTCAGTCAAAGCGATCGAGTCAGTCAGTCGAGTCAGAGGCAGTCCGAAACAGAGTCACGTTCAGACAATTACTACTAAACCTGATTGTTCTACTTCTACTGTTTCTACCTCTCTGTATATATTCCTGTTTGTAATATATCTGTGTTATTCCATATCCGTGTTCGAGTTCATCTTTAATTGTTCTACCTTGGACTATCAACGTGGTACAAGGAACCGGATCATAACAATATATATATATTCAGTTGTATGTATGTTTGTAACCCTGGGTTTCACGCTTTTGCGATCATCAGATATGTAAGCTCTGTCACTGATATTGCGCATTATCCAATAAATACATATATAATAATAAATATAGAAACTATATATATATATATATATATATATATATATATATATATATATATTGGTATATATACATTTTGTTCCTCACTATTTAGCACAATTCTGAGTTTCATGTGCGAAGCAAGACGAACCTCACCTGACGATTATCTCGTGCATGAAACTCGGAGTTGTGTTAAGCAGTGAGGAACAGAATGTATATTTATTAGTAGTGTAAATTTTAGCTCTGGTATTATACAACATCGAGCACTGTTTTTATTACCAGCAGCAACCATTGTGCACATATGATACATATATATATATATATATATATATATATATATATATATATATATATATATATATATATATATATATATATATATATATGGGGGATGTAAGTAGGTGTATGCCTGTTTGTGAGCAGGGGGTATCATAGGTCGATTTAAGAAAAAATAATTATTGTATATTGTAAAAATAATTCTGTTCCATTTTTTGTTGAGAAAAGATACAGATGTTCCCTAAAATTCCGATTAAAAATGTACTTATGATTCTATTTTGTCTTATAGCCTAATGATATACAATTACTATTACTATTATTATTATTATTACTGTTATTATTATTAATATTATTATTACAATTATTATTATTATTATTAATTTTTGAATTTCTGGGTATTATAATAACAACAAAAATTGCAATATGATCTCTGGTAAAAAAAAAAATTGTTGCTGAAGACATTAGGTTTATAATTCATGCACACATATCCTCAAGGGCACATGACACAGTGAATTAAAGCGTTGGTTAGATTCAGTGACAGGACCTAAAGAGTATGAGTTCAATACCCGCTTAAGGCAGTGGATAACTTGGAGAGGCGAATTAACTGATAACTGACATCTGTTAACGTTGAACTAGAACAGTCTGCCCCAGTGAGCGAAATAAAGGGTTCAGTTCGATATTCCAACTACCTGAAGAAGGCCTGAGCATACATCGGCCGAAACGTTGTAATAAATATAGCAACCTTGAATATCTGTTGTATACAAATTTCCTTTCGGATACTAACCTGAGACCTAATGTCAGAAATGACATTTTTCACTAATTTTTGTAAAACAACCCCCCCAAAGACCACACACATAGATAAAGCTCTTTGTAGTGCGTGAGTTTTACATGTGAGTAAAATTTTTTTTTTGTATTTCTTGCCAGGAACCCCTTCAATGAGTCTACCGGAACCTTTTCCAATCAACCTGAGGTCTCCAACTACAACTGGAAATATTGATGTCCACATGTGCGACATTTTTGGAACTTTCATTTCGAGAGGCTTGTAGTTGATAGTTTTTTTTATTTTTAAAGATCTTCAAAGATACATTACAATCTGCAGGAACTATCAATAAGAAAGCACATTTGGTTCTCGTGGTTTTTGATCACGTCGTCTGGGAGATTAGCTTTGATTGTTCAGTCTGTGTGTATTGTAAAGTCTCATAAAATGATTACAGGTCCTATCTCTGTAATCGGGTCTGTGTGATGTTCATACTAGTTTTTTGTAGTTTCCTTCCCTTAAAAGTTTGATATTTTTCAATGCCGATATTGGCCGATTTTATCATGCCGAGTGTTATATTCAGTGAGTGCTAACAATGTGCAACATGATACAAGATGGCCATTTGTTTCTGGATATTCATCACAGAATCTGCATTTGGGGTCAACAATTTTTCGGTATGTGTACTTCATAATTTCTAGTTGGCAAGCATTGGTCTTGTACAGCAAGAATAAAGACTTTCGTTTCTGTTTTTAACCCTGCACTACATAACCACTAATGGGTATGGGGTTCGTCTACATCAGCTTGTTTGATAAGATCAGAGTATTGACCATGAATAGGCTTATCTTGCCATCGTTTCTGCATTTGGCACATTGCGTTTGCTTTTGATTTTTTGTTATTTGCCGTTGCAGCAAGTGTATTATGGTTTATTTGGACTTCACCCACTTTCAATTCCCTTTGGAATTTGTTGGCTTCCTTTATTACTGAATAAAGTTACTTATTTCTTTTATTTCTTTGACACAGATAATCATCCAGTCTTCTGTAGTTTCTAGGTATCTTTGAAGACCAATCGTTGTTGTTTTGTAAGACAGTTCTAGTTGAACTAATGCTCTACCTCTTTCGGATCTGGGCATATACAGACCATCAACATCAGCCTTACGATCGATGATGCACGCCGTGACAAGTGAGAAGCTTTCTAGTTTTGATATCCATTCGTGTAATGTCAGCTATGACCCAATTAAAGATGCTCAAACTGTATTGCACCACGGCTACAGACAAGGTATTTATGGCTGATATTCTGTTTTGTGAATTGAACTCGGTATTTAGCACCAGACGTCCACGCCTGTCGTATTCTTTTCTTACTTTCGCCTTCATTTTGGTATGCTGTATTCCATCATCTTTATAGAAGTCTTCTTGTTCCAGTTTCCTAATCTTTGTGACACAATCTAGATTTATTGAGTGTGTTTCCGTAATTCTGTAAATCTTATCTAACCCGAAATCCATACCGATGACTTCAGTGAAACATTTTACATTATTCAGTATACCTTTCAACGCATTGTCGTCTTTGGCAAAGAGTTTGATATCATTCATATTGAATTTCTTTTCCGTTTGTAACCACCATTGTGGACACGTGGCCGAGTGGTTAGTATGTTCGCATTCTGACCATGAGACCCGGGTTTGACTCTCACCAGGGTCGATTTTTCAAAAAGGAAACTTGTTATCGTACTGGAGGGGGTCGATCACAGCATGCGGTACCTTTGGAAAGTGCTTGAAAACCATACCACGGGTTGACCCAAGACTTTTGAGTGAAATTGTGTAGACGAAACCCTTGGGGGGGTGTCGTCGATAGCTGTGCTAGCTCTAAGTCTCAAGTCATCGTGACTGATGGGCTTGAACGTTCTGGCCTTGTTCAAATTGTTGATTACGCTCGATAACACGCTCTTTACCAGAAACTGTAACCAAGGTCTGCTCAGCATAGTTGCAGTATAAACCACAAGTGGTCTCTGTGGGTGTTGAATAAACACAAATGTGCTTGAGCAAGCGTCTGCAATAGGGATTGGCTAGCCTCCTTAGTAGATGGGTATCCTCGAATACGAGTGGCCAGCTATACATACATACATACATTATTATTATTATTATTTCTTTATCACCAGCTTAATATATCAACATTCTATAAGAATTATACGTAGACAATGGTTCTCTACCATATATATATATATATATATATATATATATATATATATATATATATATATATATATATATATATGTGTGTGTGTGTGTGTGAATGTTCATTAGATTTCTTAACATTATGAAAATAAAAGGCATCTTTCTTCTGTCGGTATAATTAGCAGCGATCCCAGTCTTTTCCTCTTATCCAGCGGGTACATCAGCTCGTATACATATGTAAAATGTGATTCAATGGAGACTTCGAGGCTTTTTTTATTTTAAAATTAAGACAAATTGTTAATTTCGTGAAAGATATATCATCCCAGCATCCACCTTGGAGAAAAGGGGGAAATATATTCCTATTTTTAATTATATTTCTTACCAAGTTTAGAGGCGTCAGCAATATTTTCTGATGAGAGGTGAATTCGAAAGTAAATGATATTATGTTCTGCATATGCATCGACAAATTTCCTCTTGTTGGTTTTAATGAGAGCATCTGAAAATTTCTAGTTAAAAACTATGGAAATTGTTATTTGTTCAGAGAGAAGAAATCTATTACGTAGCTTAAACAAAAACTCGTGACGATTGAAAGAGAGAGAGAAAAAAAGGTGAGGAATTTGAAAACATGCTTGTGAATATAAATAAGTATGGACAAAATTCTACCTGCTTTACTTGGATAGCAGTACAGAGTCTTTCTCTTTGGTGAAAAAAAAACTGCATTTGTTCCATAGGAAGAAACGCCTTTTCATATTCAAATCAGAAGTCTATGCAAAACTCAATGGAATCGAGATCACGATTAAA